AATGAAATAAGCAAAAAAAAAAAAAAAGGCTGTCATTATAACCTAAGAGCGAGCTAAGGACACTTACCACTCACCACTCACTCTGTTATCTCTTCAGCTTAGTCCTTGCAGCATCCCAAAGGACAGTCATTATGGACTCAGAGACAGGCAGGGCTCAATCTGGACATACAGTGGGCTAAGCCAGGCTGGAGCCCAGGTTCCAGTGAGGCCGCAAGATAGTGGGGGCAGTAAGGGACAGGCCAAGGTAGAGGGCTGCCCCTTGCCAACTGCCTGCACAGGCCCTGACCACCAAGACTGAAGCTGGGAAGCTCTTCAGAGCCTCAAATGGCCTCACTGCCCTTGTCCAGCTCATAACAAGTACCATTGAAACCCCTGGCTGTCCACCCCCTACAGATGAGACCAATGTAACCCTATGATCCAGACCCAGCTCTGCTAATAACCCTTGGTCAACCACCTAAACATTCTGTGCCTCTGTTTCCTTGGCTGCAAAGATGAGGTAACAGGATCCTTCCTACATTGCCACAGAGCTTAAATGAGATAGCAGTAAAGATTCCATTTGAGTTTAAACAAAGACTTGGTTTTCACTGCTAATTTTGCTGGGTTTCTGTAGAGAACTCACACTCTGGTTGGCATCACACCACACACACACATACACACACAGCACTCATGTGTATATATGTCATCATACACACACACACACACACACATATATATATATACACACACACACACACACACACATGCAGGCACATATTAGAGCTTGCACCCACACTCACACAGGAACATGTGCACACACACATACAGGCACGCACCATTCAAGCTCACATAAGCACACTCTCCACATCTGTACTGATGGCCTACCACTACCTACACATAGTCACCCACCTGAACTGATCTCAGGCCTGTTTCCCTTGTGCCCTTTCAGGTGCTTCCTGAGCAGAAGAGTGGGAACCACCGCAGCTGTATTAGTGAGAGGCACAGCTCTGGAAGGCTTGACTTTTTCATATTATTACATTGATAGTAATCTAAAAATATGACTGTGAAATGTATGCTCTCCTAGGGGCTTGAGATTTTTCATATTATTATGTTGATAATAATCTAAAAACATGATTGGGAACATTTTGGTGGTAGTTGAGCTTGCCAAGAAATGTTGCATCTTGTGTTAGTGTTTGTAATGGGTAGATGAAAAGTGGCAGGGCTTGGTGGTCTAATAGGCCACAGGGGCATCTCTGATGCCAAGGTGACTCCTCTGTGAGAGGTCTGAGCACAGACTGACATGGGGGAACACAGCCACTGCCCAACATGGAAGCAGCTGCTGTCCATAACAGCCAGAGTGGGCTCCAAACTGTACTCTTGGGTTTGGAATTGAAATGCGGTGCACACACCGTGTAATTCATCCTATTAAAGTATGCTGCCCAGTGACTGTTTAGCACATGCAAGCATCACTGTGCAAACCCTGAGCACTTCCACCCCTATCCAAAGAGACCTAGTGCCCATGAGTACTCACCCCATCTCCTCCCCGCAGGCCCCTGCCATCACAAATCTATCTGATGTCTCTATGGAAGGATTTCTCTTGGACATGGTTGTTTTTTGACTGCCAACTGAGTTTCAGTAAAAAAGAAACCAAACAAACCCATAAAAATATCTTTCGTATTACATTAATGTTCTTAACCTGAATTTTAAAAATATTTTACAATGTTTATTTATTGCTATTGTAAAATGTATGTGAGAGAGAGTGCATGACACAACCTATGTGTGGGGAACATATGCTATCAGAGGACAACTTCATGGGGTTGGTTATCTCCTTTAACTTTATGTGGGTTCTAGAGATTGAACTGAAGTTGTCAGGCTTGTGCAGCAAGCACCTTTACCTGCTGAGGCCATCTTACTGGCCTTTAACTTGAATTTTTAAAGTTAATGTATTTTGGGGTTCTGATTTGTATGTGTATGTGGGATGTATGCATGTATACATGCTTGTGTATGCACATATGTGTGTATGGGTACATGTGGAGGCCAGAGGTCTATGTCTTCCTCAATCACTGTCTACCTTATTTTTTTTCCTTGAGACAGGGTCTCTCACTGAACTTGAAGCTCTGAAATTCAACTAGACTAGCTAGCTAGCAAGCTCCTGGCTACACCTCCCCTATGCTGGGATTACAGGCACATGCCATTATGTCAGCTTTTACATGGTTTCTGGGGATCAAACTCAGATCCTCATGCTTGTGTTACAAACACTTTACCCACTGAGCCATCTCCTCGGCCTCTGGGGTTCTAATTTTTAATTGTTCTGGCTTCATGGTTGTACAATCATTACAAGTGTGCAGGGTAGACATTTAAGTAACATTTCAATGAGAATATAGGGCCCATGTGGTGCACTGTGATTTTTACCATTTCCCTTATGAAGAGATAGACTGTTTCTAATCTTTGAATTGGGCTTAACTATGTGACTTGGGCCAATGCAATATTAAGAATTGATGTACAGACTTGCAAAGTGCTTGTACCCTGGGGCCTGCCTTCTCTTGCTACTGCAGACAGCCAGGTAAAGATACCCTGGGAATAACCTCAGGCTAAATTGTTGAGGCCATGACCCTGTTACCCTCATGATTCAGCTGAATACCAGTACCAATCCCATATTTCCTATACCAACCAACTTCTCATAGACCTATCAACTGCCAGCCCTTGCCTGTTTGAGTTCAGGCAAGCAGTAGAAGAACCACCCAGCTGTGTACAACCACAGAACTGTGAGATTATAACAAATGCTATTCATAGCCACTACATATGATGTGCTGTGCAGCAAGAGCTGGCCTCTGCAAAAATGACGTTCCTTTAAATACCAACTGCATTGGCAAGAAATTTGGACAATGGTTGTTCCTGGGGGGAGGGGGGCGACACTGGTCCTGAGGCCTATTTACTAGATTTCCTTTTAGATCTTCTAAAATTTGAATCATGGAATGATCACCCATTCAGTATAAATTTAATAAATAAAAAGGGTCTTCTGCTTGAATCCAAGTCTGTGACATCCCACCTGCTCTCTGTGATGCCTCCCTGTCCTCTCACACCAAGCATGGCACTCACCAATGCGATGGGGAGCCTTCTCCAGCAACTCGATCTGGATGTGCCTGGCACCCGCTGGGATTTGCACCAGTTTGAGAGCTGCTTCCATCCAGGAGCATCCAGAAAAGCAAAGAGTGTTCTGAGCTAATGGCCCACTACCCAGCGCCCCACCCACCTTACCCCACCCCACATCATGCCATGGGGAACTCAGGAACTTTGCAATCACAGAACATTTCTGAACCTGTTTCCTCAACTGTAAAACAGGGATGGGGCCTTCCCTCCAAGGATGGAAAGGGCAGATAAGATGCTGTGGCTTCAAGTGTCTGTGAACTCTAAGAGCTACCTTGTACGTGCACAATGTACATGTGTGGACCTTGCTCTTATGTCCCACTTTCTTCCACTTCTGCTCTTTCCCCACTTTTTCACTCCTCTGTCCCTCCCTCCTCCTCTTTCCTTCTTAAGCTACTATAGGGATTTAATGAAATAGGCCTTGAAGATCCTACATGGCTCTTGGGTTCACAAGGCTGGATAGCAAGCCTTTCTTCATCACCCACCTTCTGTAACATACAATCAAGGGTGAGACATAGATGTGAAATCCTCCAAGGGGAACTAGATCTGCTTTATAAAAGTATAAAGGAGTAGTATCTGGCCCTTTTCCATAGCAAGTTTAGTCAGAAATGAGATGAGGAGTTAAAGAACCAAAGGTACCAGAAGTTCAAAGTAGAAAATGTTACAGATTTCTTTTAAAGGAATAGAAAATGACCAGTCCAGTTTGGGCTACGCCTTTAATACTGTCTATCCCCTCACTCCCCTTGAAAGATGGCTGGGCCCCTGCTCTCCCATGTCATCTAACAGGAACATGCTTCTTGAGCTCCTGGGCCCTGAGCCCAGTATTAGCATGCTAGGAAAGGGGGTGACCTGCCACAGGCAGCCTGGGAGGGTCTGTAGTCAGGCTCGCAGACCCCCATCCCTCCCTGAACCCCAGCACAAATCAAGGAGGAAAGCTCACCTGTCATCAACCCCACCCTAGCCCTGGCCGGGCTCACCTGCCTGCTTTGAGGCCTTGCCCAGTGTCCCCTTCACAGTCCTGCAGTGAGAGTTGTCCCCGCCGCAGACACCACACTTGTCATCTGCCTTCATGGATCCCACCTCTTTGTCGCAACCAAAGGGCTAAGGGTGGAGGTGAGGTCAGTGGGGGGAAGGTTGCCCTGTCTCCACCTCTCAAGTCCCCTGGCTCCCTCCTGAGACTTCAGGCCCTAGGCAAAAGGGGAACCTGTGATCCAGGTGAGGTCTTAAACCCAGCATGGTAACTAATGACTCATATTTCCTTTTCCCTATAATGGTTTAGAACAAAAAGGGGCCCCTCTGCAGCAGCCTGGACTGTCCTGGGTGTGGCAGGGTGAGTTATACTGCCTTCCCAGGGACAGCCCTCCAGGCCCCATGAACCAGTAGAGGATGAACAGCTTTCAGGGACACCCACCACACACTCGCCACGAGCACAGACACTGTACGGGTCCCGGTAGCTGCAGCGTGTCCCATCATGGACCACTTGGTTCATGAACACCACATCTCCTGTGTCTGCAGACTGGCAAATGAGCTCGCACTTCTGGGCATCTGTGAAGACAGAGACCCCGATGAACCCCACACTGGGCTGGCAGAAAGTAGGACAGTCTGGGAATTCCATCAGTATGTGGTTCCACCAGTAAGTCCGGGGGCCAGGTCAGGGACAGTGGGAGAAGCTCTGGGCGGGGGGCGGGGGGCTTAAAAGCCCTACTATGGCATTTAGGGATTGGTCATGTGACTTGGTACAACTGTCTCTAGCCTCTCTGAACCTCGGTTCCCTAATTTCATGCTCCCAGATCAGAAAATGCCACATCAGGTTACTGAGAAAAAGCAAGTGACAAACCAACAGCAATAATAAGCCAAAACCTGGAGCTGGAGAGACAGCTCAGTGGTTAAGAACCCTTGCTGGGCACTGGAGAGATGGCACGGTGGTTAAAAACTCTTGCTGCTCTTTTAGAGAACATGAATTTGGATCTCAGTACCCATGTCAGGAAGTTTACAACCACTTGTAACTCCAGTTCTGGGGGAATCTGATGCTCTCTTCTGATCTCTATGGGCACCTACCCTCAAATGCATATATATGTATATAATTAAAGATAAAAATTAATTTTTTTAGAAAGTCAGCACCTAGCAGACACTCACTGAATACCAGACACCTCCAAAGCCCTTCCACACCTCTGAGAAACAACATTAAACACCTGTCATGACTTAACTCATCTAATCCTCTCAAAGCCGCAGTGAGAAGGTTCTAGCATTACAGGATATACACTTACTCTTTTTTTCTTTAATACTTTTTCTTCCTTTTATAGTGACCCAATGAGTTTAATTGAGGCTTCTTACATGCGCATGGATGATGAGTTGTTTACAGGAGCATGTGATTACTTTATTCATGTATATGTGTGTGTTGTAGGTACATGTGGGTGAACATGCATATGCATGTGTACTTTACACTTTATCCATGTGTATGTGTGTGTTGTATGTACATGTGGGTGTACATGCATATGGAAGCAGAGATTGACATCAGATGTTTTCTTTAATCACTGACCACTTTATTATTTGAGACAGGGTCTCTCATTGTACCTGGAGTTCACTGATCTGTCTAGCTCTCTCCCCAGAACTGAGATTATAAACATGTGCCACTATGCCAGGTTTTATGTGGGTGCTGGGGATCCACACTCAGGTCCTCATGATTGTGCAGCCAGCATTTTACCAGCTGAGCCATTTCCCCAGTCATGACTTAACTCATCTGTGTATGTTGTTTTGTTTTAAAGATTTATTTTTCATATGTATGAGTGTTTTTCCTGCATGTGTGCCATGTGTACGCCTGGTGCCCAGAAAAGTCAGAAAAGGGCATTAGATTCCATAGAACTGGATTTACAGACGGTTGTTAGCCACTATGTGGGTGCTAGGAACTGAACCAGGGTCCTCTGCAAGAGCAGCAAGTGCTCTTAATCACTGAGTCATCTCTCTAGTCCCAATACCCTGTCTTTTGAGACAGTCTCTCACTGGGATCTAAAATATGGCAACTAATGAAGCCCAGTGACCTACATGTCTCAGCCTCCCCAGTCCTGAGATTAAAAATGCATGTTACATGCCTGGATTTGTTTGTTTGTTCATTTATTTTATGTATATGAGTGCAATGCCTGAGGAAGTCAGAAGAGGGCATCGGATCCCCTAGAACTGGCGTTTCCGGATGGTTGTTAGCTGCCATGTGGGTACTAGGAATCGAACCCAGGTCCTCTGCAAAATCAGTCAGTGCTCTTAACCACTGAGCCATCTCTCTAGCCACTGTTGGGTTTTTTTGTTTGTTTTTTGGTCGTTGGTGTTTCTTAATTAATTAATTAATTAATTAATGTGCGTGTGTGTATTGCCTACATGTAGGTAAGTGCACCCATGTTGTGCAATGCCAGCAGAAGACAGAAGAGGCTGTCGGATCCCCTAGAACTGGAGTTACAGACAGCTGTTAGCTGCCATGTGGGTGGTGGGATTCGAACCTGGGTCTTCTCCAAGAACAGTCAGTGTTCTTAACTGCTGAGCCATCTCTCCAGCCCTGTTTTTTGTTTTTCAATGTGGATTCTGGGGACCAAACTCAGGTCCTTGTGCTTGTAAGGCAAGCACTTTGCCAACTAAGCTATCTCCCTAGTCCCTATTTTTATCTGTGTATAGTACTGGCTATCAAGCCTAGGGTCTCATGCATGTTAGGCAAATGTTCTGCCAGTGCACCACACCTCAGCCCACATTCTAGCATCAGAGGAAACAGAGGACCAGAGGCTAAGGTGCTTGCTCAAAGCCACACAGGGAGCGAGTCAGTCAAACTTCAAACAGAAAAGTCACTTGGGTCTTGCTCTGACTCTACAACCTCACTGGGCACAGACAGCGGTAGCAGGACCATATGTCTCAACAATGAAATGTTCCCTTCTCTCTCCTGGCTGCTGATGTCCTTAAAAGGAGGTTCCAGAGAACATATAAACACTCATTGGATTTCTTAGAAAAAGCAAGGTTGAGGGCTTAGCTAACTTCCTGGAATTGGTTTGAATGTCCTGGGAAAAGCCTGAGTAAGGTCCAGCTGTCTCGCTGACCTTCTTGCTTTGCCTGATAGGCTTCTCTGCCTGTCTGTCTTCCCAGTGGACCCACAAGGCTTTCAAAGCCAGCCTTTCCCAAAATCCATCCTAAGGAGCTTAGCTGGCTCTAGTTCCTATGACCAAGCTCCTAGGACACTTGGTCACTTCTTGTCTCCCTCACACAGGACTCCAGGGTAGTTACAACAATTAAGTATACCTTTGATTCCCTGCTCAAGAACCAGACTCCTGGTGAGATCTGGGCCTCGGCAGTTCCACCTCCAGATGAGAGATAGGGTCCTTCCACCTACCAGGACACCTGGAAGGCAAGTGTCTGGGAAAGTGGCTAAGGAGAAGTGCGCTTCCTAGAATCAGAGGAAGCCAAACAGAAGCGAGCCCCTGTCCCCTCCTACAAGGGAGCCTGGAATTGACAGGGCTCAGAAGTCTTTTGCAACTTAAGGGTTTTGCCACTGTAAATGTAAGCCAGGGAGCTCAGGGTCCTGAGGTCAACCCAGGCTCAGAAAGAAACTGTTCTTGATGGAGCTTTCTGGGTTCCAGAGCACAAAGGAGGGAGTGATAAGCCAGTTACAGGACTGGCAAGCCTTCAGGCTTGAAGAGCCAGGTGTCCCAGGCATTTCTAGTCTAAAGCTGCTGTGGGAGCTCTCACTGAACACGTGTGAAAAGACTAGGTGCTGGTCCTAATGTGGTCCCATCAGACTCTCTCAGTTAAGAGGTCTGTGTCTATTCTAGAGTAGCCTGGGGTGGAGGTTAACATGAGGATCTTCTAGACTCCTACCCACCTGCCTTTCAAATGACCTTCAGTCACTGCTAAATGGATATCTCATCCAGAAAACCTACATGCCTGGCCTATGGTAGGATGGTGCTCTTCTGGACACAGCACCACACCCCTGGGGAACACTTTGGGCTTTCTCCAGGACTTTGAGATGAACTACAGGAAGTGAGCTGAGCCTCTGTCTGACTTTTTCTTTTTCTTTTTTTGTTTTTGAGACAGGGTCTTCCTATAGCCCCAGTTGCCCTAGAATTCTCTATGTAGACCAGGCTGGCCTTGATCTCACAGAGACCTGCCTGCCTCTGACTCCAGAATGTTAGTATTAAAGGCATGTGCCACTATGCCCAAGCTGGCTTTTTCTTAAATGTACTCTGAAACCTCTTTTTTGGACAGACATTCTCCCGTGCAGATAAGGACACAGATACCTAAAAGGCACCCACTCCACTCCCAGCTCTGCCACCAGCTCGCAGCACCTCTCAGTGAATGGCCCCCTCTTCAAGCTGCTTGACTTACATCTGCCATGAAATCACCCTTTTAAGCACATGAACCAAGAATGACCTCAATGGTGATGGTGGTCCAGAGGTACCCGATGCACAAACTGGTCTAAACAACTTCAACAACCCTGTCCACTGGCTGTCTCCTCCTCCTTCTCCTCTCCTAATGTCCCTGTGCCTCAACTAACAGGAGGGTCCCATCAAGGGTCACATGGCTCAGCAGACACCCAAGACTTGGTCAGAACAGGGCCACTCACCATCATCAGGCTCGTAGGGCAGCCAGCTGTGCTTGGCATTCTTGTGGGTGTAATAGGAGTTGCGCTTGGCACACTGCTGGGCCCGGAAGTCCTCAAAAGGTCCAGGACAGTCCTCGCTGTTGCAGATCTGGTACTCAAACATGGACCCTGAGCACAGGCGACCTCCATAGGCTGGGCTAGGGTGGCAGAGGGAACAGATGACCTGGCTAGCCAGGAAAGCTGGGGAATGAGGAGCCTCCTACATGGCTCCTAGGACAGCTCAGTCTTGCTGTATTGGCAAGAGCATTCCATTAACTTATCAACTTCATAGTGACCTGTAGAGTGAGGCTGCTGAGCTCAGGGCCCTCTGGATTCCATTGTTTCAGGTAGCCCAGGCTGGTCTTCAATTAACTATATAGCTGAGGATGACTTTAAACTTCTGGTCTTCCCACCTCCACCTCCTGAGTGCTGGAATTACAGGTGTGTGCCACCAAACCCAATTTATATGATGCCAGGGATTCAACCCAAGGCTTCATGCATGCTAGGCAAACACTCTACCAACTCAACTCCATCCCCTGCCTCTCTAGAACCTTCTTCTTCCCTGACTGTTTTATTTGCAAGACCTCCCCTATGCCACTGGGCGTATATATGTGGGGGAGAGGGACAGAATGACAGACAGATATATAACCCAGCAACGACAGCAGTTAGTCTTGCTCTTCCTTAAATTCCTTCAGCTGTTGACTAGTGCAGTAGACACTCAGTCAACAACTACTTTTCTACATCCACTTCTATTTCATAGCAAAATAAACTAAGGAACAGCCAAAGAGATTTGGGTTTGGAAGAGAAAAGCCAGCTTCCAAGTCTTGATCATGTGGCCTTGGTTTGGTCATTTGGCTTTGCTGTGCTTGATTTCCCCTTATTTACCCTCTTCCTAGTGTGATAAGACATAGTCCTACATAGCGATGGACACTTTTCTTCATTAGAACAACAGAATTGGGGCTGGAGAGATGGCTGGGCATTTAAAAGCATGGCTGCTCTTACAGAGGACCCAGGTTTGATTCTTAGCATCTACATGGTGGCTAACAACCATCTATAACTCCAGTTCCAGGGGATCCGATGCCCTCTTCTAACCTCTGTGAGCAATGCATGACACAGGTGCACTTACACACATGCAGGCAATACACTCATACACACAAAATAAAAATAAAAACAAATTACATTTAAAAAGAACAGTATTAAGTAAGATTATTGATACAAAGGATCCAAGAACAGAAGGTAACAATATCCTCTGCTCAGAGATACTAGGAGAACTTCCCTGGGGTTGATCATCTAAGTGCTTAGCATCCTGCACACAGTGCTCAGAACAAATCATAATAATAATTATAACATCAGCTGTCACTGTGACATTCTTAACCCATGCTGGGCACAGGGCTGAGCACATATATCATTTCATTTAAGCCTCATAAAATAAAAAAATATTACTACAAGGAGCTCAATAAATGGTAGCTCTGAGCAAGGGGGGGTGGGTAACTCTTGGTGACAAATGCAAGGTAAGTTTATCAGAACAGGTACCACTGTGCATTCCCATCACCTTGGCTTTTGTGCCTCTCATAGGTGAAAATGACAAGGCAGTCCACATTGACTCCCATTCATACAAAGTCAGTACAGTTAACAAAGGCATGAACTACTTTGGCAGTGAACCACCATCCCTACGGGTAAATGTATACCATCAATAACCACTGTTTTTTCTTTTTTCTCTTTTTGTATGTGTATGAGTGAATGGTTTGCATGTGTGTATGTGGGATCCTGAGTGTGGAGGCCCCAAGTTGACACAGGCGTCTTCCTTGATGACTCTCCACTTTATTCACTGAGGCAGGGTCTCTCACTGAACATGGAACTTACTGATTCCAGATAGTCGCATTAGCCAGCTTGCCTTGTCCTGTGCCCCCACCTCCCAAGTGGTAGGACTACAGGCAGTCACCACATCTGCCCAACTTTATGTAGATCTGAACTCTAGTCCTCACACTTAGACAGCAAGCACTTTATCCACTGGGTCCCAAATGACACTATTTACAAGGGTGCTATGACTTGTCATTACAAGTGTTCATCATACCACTTGGTGCCAGGAAGGGCTAAGCCCTATCCCTGTGGAAGTCCCCAGGCCAGTGGACTCATGGCAGCTCTGGCCAGTCTCTGTACTGCGTGAGGGAATCCTGAGCGAGTTTCATGACTGGTTTTGGTTGTCAACCTGACACATTTGGGAAGAGGGAACCCAAGCTGGGGAATGTTCTCTATTGGATTATTCCATGGGCATGTCTGTGTGGCTTTTTCTTGATTATTGAATGATATGGGAGGGCCCAAACCACTGTGGGCAGTACCACCCCTGGGCAGGTGGTCTTGGGTTATATAAGAAAGCAGGCTAAGCACAGGCCAGAGAAGCAAGCCAGTAAGCAGTGTTCCTCTGTGATCTATGATTCAATGCCCACCTCCAGGTTCCTGTCCCAAGTTCCTGCTTAACTTTCCTCAACAACGGACTGCCACTTGAAAGTATAAGATGCAATAAACCCTTTCCTCCACAGGTTGTTTTGGGCCATTTTTTTTAAATTACAGCAATAGAAGGCAACTAGGACAGCAAGCAGCTTCATCTGGGAGATGGGGACAATGGAGAGCTGGGCTCAGATGGTCCACAGCCATGGAATAGGGGAGGGGATCCTACCGAGAGGACAAGAAGGGATAGACAGGTGTCTCCCCAGAATGCTGAAACTTGCCTGAGATAGTGGAGGGGTTGATGTTGGAAACAGGAAAGCTAAGAAGGAAGAGAGGTTTTGCATGCAGGGCAGAAAACAAACTGGAGGATGACATAAAACAATTTAGATTGGTGTTTACTCAAAGTTCAGCCAGAGGATCAGGGTGTTTGGAAGTCTTACAGGTCGGACAGAAACAGGGGCCCATACAACTTTCTGGGAGGAATCTTTTGCACATGAGAACATGTGCCACTAAGGCACATTTCTAGAAGTCACTCCCAATGGCTCACTAGCAAACGCTCCAATTATTTTAAGTCCTTAACCAGAGAATATGGAACTGTCTGTAGGGGCTACTCTCCTGTACCCTGTCCACCCACTGTTTTCCCCTCTGAGTCCCTCTGCCTCAGGAAGGTATAGTCTCTGTCATGCCCATGCCCGATCAGAACACTCACGGGGGGTTGTCGCAGCTCCGGCTGCGGGATCGCACTCCACCTCCGCATGACCGAGAACAGGAGCCAAACTTGGTCCAGGAACTCCAGCCTCCATCCTGGCCATAAGTTTGCTCTGAAGACTTCCAGATACAGTGACCTTTGAAGCACCACTGGGGTGAAACAGAGGACGTGAGGTCACCCTGGGCCACGGCAGTGGAGCCTGAATGAAGGGTGCCCCAGAGGAAACATGGTGTAGAGGATGGACACCGTGACAAGTCCAGAGAAAGAGCCATTAAGGGAATTGGTCTGAAGAATGAGCTGGACAGAATCCCAGCCCACCAGATACAGGGAGCTGAGCCACCTCAAAGGGCTTGCCATCCTGGTGTGACTACCCTTCACCAGCACAATGCTAGAAACAGCACTGCCCCTTTCAGTCAATATCAAGCACACACAGTTCTCTTGAAATGGCAGACACTATTCAATGAGATTCACAATGATAATGAATGGGGGACTATTTCATTTATCATCCTGTTGAGGGGGTGTTGGGAGGGAAGAAAAGTCTCAATCACCCTATTCTATCTGCAGTTGATTTTGGCTCTGTACCTTGAATCACCTTCCAGGGACCATAAACAGATGAGCAAACCATGTCTGTCCCTGCAGCTGAGGGAGCAGCCACTTAAGCTGAATGGCCTAAGTTCAAATCCCAGTTCAGCTATGTGTGCCCCCTTTGCTGAACCTCAGTTTACTTACCTGTTAAACAGGACTGCCCTAAGAACTGAAAGTTTAGTGCCCAGCCCTCAGAAGAGGCCCAACTAAGGTTTTTTTGTTTGTTTTTTTGTTTTTTGGGGTTTTTTTTGTTTTTTGTTTTTTTTTTCCTGCAGGATATGATAGGAGAAATAAGCAAAGCTCTCTGGGTCTTTCTCGAGAGGTGAATTTCTTCATCTTGGAGTCCCCTAATAGGACTCTTAAAACCTCAGAAGCCTGGGCTTCCCCGACCAGCTGAACCAGTCTCTAGGGTCATTGGATGTTCTGGAAGCTATAAGGAGGTACCATTTACACACCACAGAAATTACTCATTTTGAGTGTACAATTCAATGTCATTTCCTAAGTTCAGAGTTGCGCAAACTTCACCACAATCAAATTTCAGAACATTTCCACCCCAAAACTCCTCTGTGCTCCTCTGTGGTCACCTCTGCTCCAGGGGTGGGATTTTTAAAGTTCCTTAGATTTTAACATGCAGCCAAGGCAGAAATTAATTACACTGAACTGTTACTGGGGAGGATCTGGGGCTCTACATAGGGCTGTGGAAGGGTCTCAGAAAGTCCACAGAATCTTCTGACAAACATGGGCCTGAGGAAGCAAACAAACCCAGAAACACATGGAGGGCAGGTTGGGGAAGAGAAGAGAGCATGTGTGGGGTGAGGAAGAGGCAGCCAGGGAGCGGGGGGAGTAGGCGGGTAACCTGGAGTGTTCCCTTCACCCCTCCCTGCAAATCACTCCCTGTGTGGCCCTGACATGTTCTTCAACCATCTGGGTTGCAATCTTTTCATCTGTGCAATCCTGTGAGACCATGAGAAACCAAGCTGACTGTAGAGGCCAAGGATGCTGTGCCATGTTGGAGAGAGGGCAGTGTGGGAATGTGTGAGGTTGTGGGAAGATTCCAGGCAGGTGCACCACACACTGGGATGCATGGTGCCTATCCACCCATGCAAGCTCAGAAGAGAGGCCTGACACCTGCACTCCTGCCAATGATGGTCTACACCACAGGAAGAACACTTCCTCCACATCCCCTACAGTTACCTTGCCTGGTGCACACTCAGTCCCATCCAGCGGGGGCCCCTTCTTGGTCTTGCAGAAGTATGGATTGTCAGGATGGCTGCACCACAGCTGCTTGCAGGGCTCAAAGGTCCTGAACTATGGAGCAGGGCAGAAGGGGTGGGAGGTGATGGGGAGATAGGAGGGCATGGTGGATATCGGAACCCAGGATGCCAAAAGGAAGCCTCATGCACTCTCAAGCTCCATTCAACCACAAGTGCCAGTGGTCCCTGGGGCCCCTCTTTTCCCATCAGGGTACTGAGAAGGTATCCTGCACAGTGCATATGCTTTGTCCCCTTTCCCTGCCTCCCACCACTCGGAGAGCCATTTGGAGACTACAGAGGCCTGGGCCCAGGCTGACCCCAATCCTTGTGTATCTGGGGGGGGGCTTGAGAGGATCCAGATAAGCCTGAGACCCCCATCTCTTTCTAATGTATATCCTGTGAGGTCCGAAATTGGTAATCCCATACTCCAGACTATAGAGGAGTGCCCCATTTCTTTTGCCCACCCCCCATCAGGCAGGCATCCCACAAATACAGTACTTGGGCACTAAAGTCCAAGCCCAGTTCTTCAGCCCAAAAGCAGAGCTGTACCAAGCCACACATCCCAGAATGCCCTGGAGAGTGGGCACAGTGACCACACATGGGCTCCCAGTACTACCAAGCAGGGCCTTCTGTCCTGCTGAGGGGAGGCTGCCCCTTCAGATGCCCCTTAACTGAGAGAGGCCCTTCTGTGGATCTCTTCAAAGATGGCTCAAGCTGGTCTCATCTCAAGGGTTGCCCCTTGCCCTGTCTTGCAGGCAGAGGCAGGGTTATGCTCTCTGGTGTCTATGGCCTCAGGTAGGGGTGGGAACATGGAAGTGACTCCCTGGAGAGGTATGGGAGTTGAGTTAGAACAACATGTCCACCAAAGCATCTGAGGGTAGGAACTCTTCTTCCCTGAGTCTCAGCTCCTGACTGGACACTTGATCCATCTCACAGGTAAACTCCCTAAGGGATCAACCCAGTTAGGGCACCAATGGCTATTCACCCCACCTGTCTTCCCATCTTCCCCAAGCCTTGCCTAGTGCTTGGCATATGCCTGGCCCATGGTAGGAAGGCTGTGTGGGGTCTATCCTGAACCCCACCCCTCCTTCTGATGTGGCCGGCACCAAGTCTGCAGGCCTAGCCCCAGGTCCACTGCTAGCTGGGTGGAAGTTGCACTATGCAGGACAAGCCTACTCACGGCCAAGCAGGTTTGGTACCCGGTGCCAAAGTCGAAGCGGCACTGCTCATCCATGGAATAATCGATCCCAGGCAGCTCAGGGGGCTCAGGCCAGGTACGCTCAAAGGGATCATCGAGGAGGCAATCATAGGAGCTGCAGGAGACACAGAAGAAGTCCCAAGGACTGTAAATCCCAAGCTCTCCCTTCCGAAGTTGGGGCTTTCCGTAAGCAAAGAAGGCCTGACAGTGTTTGTGCCTATCATCTAGGACCCCAGCTATTATTTCCAAAGAGGATGGGCTGTCACAGGATCCCTCTTCCTCAGGGACTATCTAACAGAGGGGCTCTACTTGCATCCAGGGGCAAAGGCAACCAGCCTGGGCTTAGGAACTCAGCTTGTAGCTGGCTTAGGGTGTTAGTTTCGTCTGTATTCAAGGAACAAACTATGGACAAGTTTAGGAGCGGATTCATGACAACTGCCCAAGGCAAAGTTGACCCACCACACAGGAGGTACACTGGGTGGCTGCTCTTCCTAGCTGCAATGGAAGGTCCCTGTCTCCATCCTTCTAGAACACCTGTCTTACACTTCTACATGCTTTCCTCACATTCCCCCTCTCTGGGGACCCGGGAAGATGGATTACCCTAGTTTGAGTGGCTCCTAATCTGCAGCATGGTGTCACCTGCTGTACTTAATGAATCCAGATTCCCAACCCATCCTCCAGAGGATTCTCACTAGCATCTGTTTGGGGCTGGAGTACCCTGGCTTTTTAATAGGATTTCCATGTTCTTGGTCACCTGAACACACTGAGACTCAAGGGTAGCTAACCCACCTGTGGTGCTAATGGAGATGCTTTAGGTCAGGTAAGGGAATGGAGGTAGAAGAGGCACAGAAAAGTCAGGCCAGCAGGCAGGATGAGGACAGGCTGGAACTCAGTTTGTATGACCTTGGTTTGTAGCAGCAAGCCACCTGCTCCCCATCCCCATATCCAAGACAGAGGTGACCTACGGGAGGTAGCGGCTGAGCTCCAGCTTGCTGCAGCGGGACCAGTGGAAGCGGTGGAAGGCAGCCTGCACCAGTGGTGCCATGACACTGCCCAGGCTAGTCTCATCATCACAGCCATTCCCCTGGCCATCATGTTCCATGCCGAGCCTAGAAGGTGGGGAACAGTCATGCTGGGCTTCTGAGATTAGGAAGACAGGTGGATGGGCCCAAAGAAGGAGAGTCTGCCCTGACCAGGAATCCAGACTGGGCCTGCTGGCCTCAGTTTCCTAACTATATCTTTACTCCCTCCCCTCCCCATTCCTTCCTGATGGGGACCCACCCCTCCCTCATCCATCCCTCATCCCTCCCTCAGACCCTACCCACATCTTCCCAGCTCCTGAGGCTGGCCCTGCTGGGACACCAATGTCCACGTACCCTCCCTGTCCCCCTCTTCCTATCATCCTCCAGGGCTGAGACCTCTCCAGGGCTCTGGACACACACAGCCCACAGGGGGGACTGAGCAGAGCCTTTACTTGTTCCTCCTGCGTCCCCCCTCCCCGCCCTCCACCCCATGGGGCTGGCACCAAGCCTGCAGGCCCATTCCCAGGCCCACTGTTGAATGGTTAGAAGGTCCTTACAGAGATTCCTGCTATAGGACACCAGCTCCAGCTGCCATGTCTATGGGTTGACCTCCCGGTCAGAGTCCACCTGCTCTACCATCAACAACTCTTTCACCATGCACTGTCCCACCAAAAAGGTTTTAGTAGTCAAGGACTGGTCTCATTCAGTCTTGTCTAGTCAGCCTCATTCACTGAGCCCCTTGGTGTGTGAACTACTAGACCCCAGAGAGCCCCAGCACAGGATTCTGCACGTAGTAGGTAGGTGCCCACCCAACAGGAGTTTCAATGAAAAACTTTGCTCTTTAAGCTTGTATTCAACACCAAAGCCCGCCAGCCATAATTATTCATCCTTTTCCTTTTTTCATTTTTGAGACAGGGTCTTCCTATAGCCCCAGCTGGCCTGGAACTCTATATAGACCAGGCTGGCCTGGATCTCACAGAGATCTGCCTTCCTCTGTCTCCCTAGTGCTAGGATCAAAGGCATGCGCCATCATGCCCAACCAGTCCTAATTTCCTGAATACTTCCTGCAGTTCCATCTGGCCTTGGTTGCTACATAGACAGGACATTGGTCCCTAAGTTCGACCTTGCCTCTCCACAGGGAGGGGTTTCTACTTAGGAAAGACCGAATACCCCCTGCCCTGTAGAGCAAGGCAAACCTTGGCACACAGTAGGCACTCAAGTACTGAATGAAGACAGATGTGATGATGCACATCCGTAATCCCAACAGCTGGGAGGCTGAGGCAGGAGGATTAAGTTCAAGGTCATCCTCAGTTACATAGTGAGTTTGAGACTAGCTTGGGCTATATGAGATCCTGTCTCAAAAAACAAACACACACAAAAAAGAATAAAGAAATATTGGATAAGGAGTGAATGAATGTATTCGAAACAGCATCCAAATCCGCAGAACTGGTTGCCAATTCCTGTCTGGCCTACTGCCTGGGCTCAAAGTGTGTCTGTTTATGGTGGGCTCAGGCCAGCCCATCGGTGGCCACTGAGGGTGAACTGAAATGAGTCTCTAAAGGGGCCTGGGGTGGGGATGGAATGGAGGGAAGCCAAGAGTAAAGACCACCCAGACAGCAGGCCCTATCTGTGAGAGGGACACTGCCACTGGCCTGTCAAAATAAACAGGGCACATCTGGCCCCCATAGCCATGGGAAGCTGGGAGACACCATGTCAATGACAGAGACTGACCTTGGCCTTTCACCCACAGGCCCCTCTAAGCTCATTGCCCTTCGCACAGTCCCAAAGCCACCCACCTCACCCACCCTCCTGGGGCCACTTACACATGACCAGTCTCATGAGCCACCACAAAAGCCGAGGAGAAACCATCCTCATGGTTGAGGGCACAGCTTCTTAGGGGGTGGCACATACCAGTGACAGGTGCATATCCTGCCAGGGAGAAGGAGAGAGGTCACAGGTAGGTGAGGTAGAGTAAACCAATGTGTGCGTCCAGCCTGAACAACAAAGGGACATCCCAAGCTGGCTGGTGCTGGAGGGTACCTGGACAAGAAAGGTGCTCACAAAGTCCTACCCACAGAACAAACGTGGGCGTGGCTGCCACCATATCCTAGGTATTTGGTAGCTTTGCTCTCGGTCTATAGTTCCCCATAGTCTGGTGGCAACTCTTCTGAACAAGTGGAACTCCAGGGATTTGGGTCTGCACATACTTTACTTCCATACTTTCCAACAAACCAGCTTGCAACACTTTCTATGTGGAGGTCAGAGATGGTCCTGTGTTAGAAACTCTGGGGCATCAGATGCAGTGGTGCTTGTCTGTAGCCCCAGCTACTCCTGAGACTAAGGCAGAAAGATCACTTGAGCCAAGGAGTTTGAGAGTAGCCTGGGCAACAGAGAGACTCATCTCCAAAGAGTGGCAGGGAGGGAAAGAAAGAGGAGAAAGAGAAGGAGGGGAAGGGAGGAAGGGGGAGGAAGAAGAGGGGAGAATTTATGTAGATACCATGGGGAAAACAGAAAAACAAGATCATTCCCCCACCTCCAGTGTATCTCACCATTAAGGAAGATTTAATTTAGCAGGGACATCAGGTGGTTAGAGTATGGGTAGGCTTGAGGGTCACAGTTCAGGGAATAATTGGTGAAATGTGAAGGAAAGGGAAGCAATGGTCCTACAGAAAGGTTTGAGGGGACCAGGGAACGGGACCAAAGGAATGACTTTGGAGAGCCACCAAGCTGAGCCTCAAGGACGGGAAAGATAACTCTCCAGAGGTTGGGGAGACACAGGCAAACAGGGAGACAAGCCATATCAGGGCAGTGGGTCTAGCAGTAAGTGCTGCTGTGTGCAAGGCCTTGTAAGCTAAGGGTCTGCTTTCAAGAGCAACCCTCCTAGGTCGTAGGGGCATGGCTCAGTGGTAAAGCCCATGTTGAGCTTGCAAGAGACCATGTACCCCATCCCCAGCTAAAAATTAACAACCGAAAAAAGGGGCCCAGTTGCAATAGGAGTGCAGGGTGAGAAAATCTGGAGGATGCATTGCAAGTAGGAAGTACTCTCTGCCTGGGCCTGGAGGGAATAGAGAGCTCTCCCTCTCTTAGAGTTGTGCTGAAGCCACCTTCTATGTGGCATGGTTTGAGGAACATAATGAGGGGACACAATGAGAAGGGGGCATGGGGCCCTATCATCTTGGAGCCTTATCATCTTGGAGCCATGGGCTTCATACTCCATGCTGGATCATTCCATACCTGTGTATGTCTGTGTGGGCTCTTGTGCATATGTGTACATTGTCTATGTATCTGTGTGTGCTTACACACGTGTGCATGTATCTGTATATGTGTGTATGTGTGCAGATACATGAGTGTCTGTACACATTTGAGAATGAGTGGTTCAGACAAGTAGCCCTGAGGTAGACAGAGCTAGCTGATTCATTTTCTCCATTAAACTAGAAACACACACAGAGACAGAGAGAAATGAGAGAGAGAGAGAGAGAGAGAGAGAGAGAGAGAGAGAGAGAGAGAGAGCCAGCCCTCAATGTGAGGCCTGGAGAGTTAAGTGTGGCCTCAGGTCTGTCTTCTGCCTCCTATGAGGGTGGGCAAATCTCTTCACCATTCTGTGTCTCAGGTTCCCCTTATGCGAAACCAGGGTAATCAAAGATAGATGTGTTCATAGATGCTTACAGTGGTCAATACTGTGTCACGGACTCCTATGTACTCCTCCACTCTGTGAGCAACCAGGGAATGGAGGAAGATAAATATAATTTATTCCATTTGCAACCTGGGAGAATCAAGAAGCTGAAAGCTGGGAGACACCATGTCAGTGACAGAGCCTGACCTTGGCCTTTCACCCACAGGCCCCTCTAAGCTCACTGCTTTTCACACAGCCTCAAAGCCACCCACCTCACCCACCGTCCTGGGGCCATTTACACATGACCAGTCTCATGAGCCACCACAAAAGTTGGGATAACTCAGGAGTGCCTGGAATGTAGAGCATGGCCAGGCCAGAGACCTCCCAGTAAGGATGGCGGGAAGCTGGCATGTTCCATTCTAGATACACTGTCTCTTACCCAACAACTCCCAAGCAAAACTATTAGGTCTCTAATCCTTTAATCCTAACCAAGTCTCTTGTAGACCAAGTGACTGAAGGACAGGACAAAGGCCATGTAGCCTTAGAAGCCTCCTCCCTCCCCCTACCTGCCTGCCCGCCAGAAAACCAACCCCATCTCTTTGCCCACAAAACTTTTCTATATAAACCTCTGCTTCTGCCATAATAAACGAGCTGTCCACTGACACAGTTAGTCTCCCAGGTGTTTCTTCTCACTGTACTCATTGCCTCCCTAGGCCCCTCTCACCCCATCAGTCTCTCTTCTCGCCCTGACTTTCCGTGACGGGGACCGGTGCACAATGGTCTCCCAGTAGCAGCGGAGTTTGGGCCGAGGGGAGGCTGACACCCAGGTCCATGGGGTGGCATGGGCCATGAGCTTCCTTCACCACATACCACACGACCCCCACTCCAAGTGCCTAGGACCCAGTATGAACAGAAGCATGCTAAGTTCCTGGGGTCTTCAAGCAGATGGAGGCTAAAACAAACAGCACATGTAGCCTGTAGGCAGGGCAGAGACAGTGGCCACCCCAACAGGAATGTTTTCATTTGTTGTAGTCTACAAGTTCCAAGACCCACTTCAGCTGGCTATACAGGTCCTGTCCTTCTGTCTTCTTCCCTTGGGCAGGTCTCACAGGTCCAACAGGACTTTCCAGGTCCAACTTTGAATCTCTACCTCTGCCCTGCAGGCTGCTTATACCTGGCCAAGCAGGTACAGTACCTTGCATACCTGAAGGGCCAAAGTTCTGCCGGGTGAGGAAGATGACGTGGTCATGGTGCTCAGTGTGGCTGGGGTCCTGGCGCTGCTGGGAGTGTGCCCATCGACACACCTGCTCCAAGCTTCGTGCTGGGTTTCCACGTTCAATCAGGCTCAGAGACTGCAGGGGTCAGGAGGATAGTGAAAAGGCCAAATCTCAAGAACTTTCCTTAGAGACTCCAGTGCCCATCCCTGCGACCAGCTGTCTCCACCTGGCTGCTGCTGGCATATAGCCCTCCCTTCACTAGGGAGGCTTTTCATACCAAGTACTGTTCCATACCCATGTCCACTAAAGACTTAACACATACAATTTCCAATCTCTTCAAACTGCAAGACAGGTGCTGTGCCGAGTACTTCCCTGCCATGTACATTTTCTGTCTTACCCAGTCTTCACAGGGAGGAAAATATGACTGTCATCCCCATTACAGGGAATATGCACCTGGTCTAAAACTGCAGAGGCCAATGCCCCCAGGCTATATCTTGTCAATAACAACAAGACTTACTTCATCACTGCCCTGTGCCCCCATGCCTCACTCTCCCTACTGACTCCTTGAGAAAAGGCACCTCCTCCCTGAGGATGCAGGACGGTAAGTTTCTCCTATTGCAGAGACCCATGCCTAATGCCTCCTTCCTGAAACAACAGCTTTGATGGTCTCAAGGTCCTTATTTGGAAGACGAAGTCTCCCAGAAACGTGTCCCTCCACCCCACACAGAGACTTCACAGCCCACCTCCCTCCAATCCCTAACCCCTGACAATTGGGCTCACCTGTCGGTAGCCCACCATGATCAAGCGGACAAGGGCAATGTTCACATGGGCCCCCAGGGACTCGTCGTGGTAAATCTCATCCACCTAGAAGGAGAAGAGCACACAGTGTAAGTGAAGCAAACTTCCCCACGGGGCTTACTGCATGCCATGTGCTGGGCCAGGCTCCTAACGTACGGCACCCCATTTATTCCATCCATCCATGACCTTATCTAACAAGTCTTCTCAGTCCTACTTTAACAAGTAAAGAAACTGAGACTGACTAAGAGAGGTAAAATGGTTTGCCCAAGAGCACATAGCTGGAATTCAAATGCCAGACACTGAATCCCAACCCTGAGCTCTTTCCACAGAGCCTGAGTATGCAGGGAGGTGATTGGTCTGAAGCTCAGCAATTCTGTCCACCTCTCTGAAGAACCTTTTCCAGAGAGGTCACCTGACTCAAGGGACTTCTGTTCAAGTTCCTGTCCTAACATCCCTGGGCTTTTTGCAATTGCCACTGGTACACTGTTTACCCTACAGTAAGTGGGCAACTGAGAGGTGGCCCTGGGCTCTTTTCCAAGACAAATCCCCAGAGTAGGGGCAGTGTTCAAGGGCCTTGGATGGACAGTGATTGCATCACCTAGGAGCTTGTTAGAAACAGAATCTACACATGCCCAGGGCCTCCCAAGTCAAACCTGCATTTGAACAAGGGACCCTGGAGGTTCTTAGATTCTATCAAGGGGGAGGAGACCAACTCAGGACAATTCCTTTCACTCACAGGCCCAGAGCCTGCCCCGGAGACAGAAGTACTACCCCACAAATTCAGCTGGAAATCTAGCTCTGTCAGGAAGCCTGGGCAGCATCCATGAGAGAGGGACTCAGCCCCTGCTTGTCTATTTTCAAGGACAGAGAGCTCAACCTTTCCTGAGGATATCCACCTCCTGAGTTATTCCCCATTGGACACTCCAGCTTTAGTGGTCCTAAATATTAGGGGCTGAGGAAATGGCTCAGTGGGTAAAGCACCTGTGGCACAAGTCTGAGTATCTGAGTTCGGATCCCAGATCCCATGTTCAAGCTGGGTAGAGCAGTGCATGCATTTCTAATCCCAATGTTCATACAGGGAGATTGGGAGGTAGAAACAGGAGAACCCGGGGGAGCTTGAGACAAGCCAGCCTGGCATGTATGAACAAGGAAGATTGTCACAAACAAGGTGGAAGTTGAAGATCAACATCCTACGTTGCCCTCTGACTTTCATTGCACACTATGGCATGCTCATGCCTACACACACACACACACACACACACACACACACACACACACACAAACCATAGACACACAAGATTAAAAAATAGCTTCTTAAAAAAACATAAAATATTTTACTGTAAAAATAAGTACGTACAAAAAAAGAAAATTAGATCACCTACACTACTAGCAACTAACTGACCACAATTAACAAATTCCCTGTCACATGTGTGCTAGGTCACAAAATTGGAGCACACTGAACATACTGTTTGTATTTTCCTTGCTTCATGGAACGTGTCTTTAACAGGGTATCCGCAAACAATTATGCCACTGCTTATGTGACTAACCCCTGATAGAACTTGAACAACTCAGAAATGACTTGCTCAGATGCTCAGATTAAACAATAATAAGGCAGCTACTAGGATAGCTGGGTTTCAATCCCAGCTCTGCATATCAGCAGAATGGCTTGGGACATAGTAGAGAGCTCCTTAGAACCTCTGTTTCTTTTTCTTTGGATTGGGAATAATGGCTGTTAGAGGGCTGCCCTGTGTAAATGTCTGGGAATCACAAGAGAGCCACACAAGCCCAGAGGCACAGTCAGTAAGTGGCATAGTAGAGCAGCCTGACTCCTATCTGTGTGGATTCCTGGGAGCTGGATGCTCTCTTCTTCTCCCCATTTTTGTCTCCCTGTGCCCTTTGGCCACCAATTCTTTCTCACATGTATGAAAAGTAACTAACTTACAGCCCATGACAGGATAGCTATCCATTACATGGAGAAGAAAAGTGCTTCCAAACCCATGTGTGTGAGTCCTATGAGGAGGAGAACCCTGGAGCGGAACCAGAGAACTGCTGGGCCAGCCAAAGACAAAACCAGGCTGTGGGCGCAGAGCCACACAGCAGAAGCTGCCTGACCACAGAGCCTAGCCCCAGGCCATTGTCCCAGTGCCCAGAGCTGGCAGTGCCCCCATGCATAAATATGCAGATCTCAAAGCAGCCAGCATCAGGGCCTTTCTGGTGCCCATGTCTGGATCCAACTGAATACTGAACCTAAAGCCCAGCACTAGATCCAGCTGACTACTGACACCAAAGCCCAGTGTTGGATTCAATTGACTACTGAAACCAAAGCCAGAGCTGGATCCAACTAAGTACTGAGACCAAAGTCCATCACTGGATCCAAATGACTACTGAGATCAAAGCACAGTGCCCACTCTGGACAAAAAGACCCTGGCAATCCCTACCAAAAGGTAGATAGAAAGACCCATGGCAAAGGGCTCCCCTCCTTAGCAAAACTTCACAGGGAGAAAGAGCTCCACTGTGTAGAGAGGGTGCCTGTCTCGACATACATGCCTGAGATTTATCTTAGGAGGGCTTCAGGATCTATCATCCCATCCCCCCTAGCACACCACCAAACTCAGGATGCTTTGACTGTTGAGACAGCAATCCACCTACAGGAAGGTTATTCCTCATCTGATTTCCCAACACCTCTAGCACCAGGACAGCCATCCTTCCACACAGGGCTGTGGTCAATACTGTGGACTCTGGGGTGACTGACTAGGACAGGCAAGGGACATGCCATTTAGCTATATCAGTGCCTCTTATACTACAGTGTGTCCCAAAGAAAAAGAGACGAGAGCAATCAACTAGGACATTTGGGTGGGGGTATCTGTTGGGTTCTGGGCATCTGGAGGGACCTCTGGGCTTTCTCTGTGTGTCTCTCTAATTCTGAACAGTCCCTGGGCTATTCAGTCTATTGTCAGAATCCCACATGTGGCAGCCAGTCCTCTGTATCTGAAAGCTTTGCACCTGTAGGTTCAACCAACTGTGCATTGAAAAATCTTTGAGAAAAAAAATTATCTATATAGAATGCATACATATTTTTGCTTTGTCGTTGCTGTCTAAAGGATATAGTCTAGCATCTATGTGGACAGTATGTTCAGCATTCAGAGTCAGAGATTATGTAAAGAACATAGGAGGGGGCTCTGCAGCTGGGTGGTAGAATGCTTATCTAGCATGTGTAAGACCATGGGTTCAATCCCCAGCGCCAGAAGGAAGGGAAGGAGGGAAGGGATGGAGGGAGAGACAGAGGGGAAAGGAGGGAGTGAGGGAAGAAAGAAGTAACTCTGGAGGACTGTGTAGGTTACAGGGGGACTTGAGCAACTATAGATTGGAGATACAAGGTGACCAATCCCCTCCAGATACTGAGATACTGAGATACCTTGCTTATTTCTATTGCTCCTTCAGCAAGTCAAATCTGCTCATAAAGCCTTCAATGATCCTTGTTCCAACTACCATCCAGCCTAGGGGACTGGCAAGGGGGTGATCCCTGCCTTTCCACACTGCCTGGTCCAGTCCTCTAGACCCTGGCACACTCATCTGCATACACCCCTGCCTGTCCTGGCCCTGAATTCAGGTCCTCAAAGGCTTTGACTTGGCTGGAACTGCTTTAAGGCTTCACACAGGCCAGGGAAGTGACTGGATAGAGCCATCATGTTGGCAGAAACCGCCTGGCACATGATGCCACAGCCAGGAGGTGTAGCTACCTGACAGGTACAGGACTCTACCCTCCCTGGAACATAGTCACAGGAGCCCTCAGACAGGCTCCAGGCTGGCTGCACCCTGGCCCCGCAGCCTCCTCCTTCCATGGCTGTGTTTGGTGGGAGACCAGAGAGTGATCAGGAATTGCTTCCCCTGGTTGGACACAGGAGGTTGACTGAAAGCCACGCCCACAGGGAAGAAAGAACAGTATGTCTGGTTTCCTTGCTTCTAACATTTGAGCCAAGTTCAAGGACACTTCTGTCAGAACCCCTAGGCTAGGATTTTACATCACCTATTGGCCTGAGATAGCCACTAGGTGTACATCAGAAAAATAAGCAAAGGTCAGGCCTCTGACTAACAAGAAACAAAAACAGCAGAGGGGAGGGATAGATGGAGAGTGCTGGGGCTGGAAGTACAAGTTGCAGCTCCCAGAATAACTATTGTATACCCGGCTCTGTTCACGACCTCATAACCCTCATATAGAGCAGAATTATTCCTGCCTCATATGCAAGAATATAAACTGCTGCTTTTTTCTTTTTTCCTTTTTTTTTTTGGTGTGTATGTGTATGTATGTGTGTATAGTGTACAAATGTGTGTGTAGGTGTGTGTGCCTCCATGTGATTGTATACAAACCCATGCTCACTTGCAGAGGCCAGAGGAGGAAGTCAGGAGTTCTGCTCTATCACTCTCCACCTTATTTCCTTGAGACAGGGTCTCTCACTGAAGCTAGGCTGGCCGCCAGAAGCCCCAGCAATCCTCAGGCATCTGCCCTCCACAGTGCTGGGGTTACAAGCATGCATAGCCATGCCAGGCTTTTTATGTGAGTGTGTTCTCATGCACAGTAAGTGCTTTTACCCATGGAGCCATTTCCCCAGGTCCCATCAAGACTACGAGCTTCTTAGGAGCAGGGGATGTGGTTCAGTTTGTAGAGTACTTGCCCAGCATGCAAGAGGCCCTGAATTCAATTCCCACATGGGGCATGTGCCTATAATCCAAGCTATCAAGAGGTAAAGGCAGGAGGATTGGGGGTTCAAGGTTTTCCTTAGCTACAAAGTGAAACACTGTCTCAAAAAAAAAGAGAGAGAAAAATCAAAGCTTCAGAAAGGTTAAGTAATTGCCCAACACTCCCCAGGGAAGCTTTGATTTGAACTCAGATCTCTGTGACTCCTCAACCCCTATTTATACTCAGCTGCTATCCAGACACAATTTCTCTAGGTGGCTGAGCAGGTTTTCCACAGCCCAGGACAAAAGAGCAGTATTCACAGCTCCAAGGAAGAAAGCAGCCATTTCCCCACACCCAAGGCTTGAGCTAGCCATACCGCCAGGAAACA